TTCTCTCGCACATGAACTTGAAGTGGAAAGGGTAAAGGCTCTCGGGAGACAGTCAAGTTATGTGACATTTTCAAGAGGCTGTCTCACCCTGAGTTTCACTGCACACAAACACACACACACACACACACACACTCAGACGGGAGGCGAAGGTTATTCCTGTGGCTGAATGAAGGCAGGTTTCTGTGAAGCAGGTTTCTGAGAGTTAAGCTCCTGTGTTAAGTGCAATAAGTCTTCCATCAGGCATCAGCTGATAAGCCCACCTTGTCTGAGAGAGTGCTTAGTCATCAGCTTTCTTAGGACACCATGTGGAACAGGACAGAGACAGCCATGGGGCCCTCTGTTCCGGCAAATCCAGCAAATGCATTGTCTTAGCGGGCTGAACAGTGCCGGGCTGGGCAGGATACCCAATCACTCCACATTCTGAAAGTGGACATTGTGAGCAGGAAGTTGGACAGAAAGGTAAAGTGGTTCCACTCCTTGATGAATGGAGGCTTAGCATTGTGATTTTTGCAGCCCTCCCTTCCCCACAAGGCAGAACTCTTTTCAGAACTGCATTTCAGACTAAATCTATCTATTTAAAAGGCCAAATGAGCACAGATGATGTATTGATGCACAACACAGGCATGGAAAGGGAGATGGGGGAGGTGGAGGCAGCAGAGGGAGGGAGGGAGGGAGAGATGGATTCTACAGACAAAGCTGTTTCTGGACAGCAAATGGGGGAAACAGCAGTGGGGGCTGTTGAGTGCAGACGTAGAGGGATGACGAGAATGGGTGAAGCAGCCTGTGGCAGTGAAGGAAAGGTCTTTCCTGAGTTAGGAAAATATCATGTTGTTATTCCAACTGTTCAATGAGCACTTGTAACGACGCCCAGAATATGTAGAGGAATACTAGACATTCCTGGTGAAGTCTGTGTTTTGTTTCTACAGCTAAAAGACACCAGTGCACTTACAGAACAACCAACTCTCTTGTATGTTCTAGTATGAACAAAATAATTAAAAAAAACATTCTCCACCGGATTTTAGAACGTCCTGGTCCAAACCACCTTTAAAGGGTTAAACAGTATCTGAGTTGCGCAAAAAACAAAGTCAGCTGTGTTCACTGAGAAGTGACAAGGGACCCTTTCTATTCTAAGTCCGAATAGTAAAAGTAGGCAAGGCTATAACAAAATCAGCTAGCTGACCAGGTGACAGTCCTTGCGCACACCCTGCAAACCACGCACACAAAACATATACACAGACAGACACACACCCTCAAAGTCAGAGTTTATGTGTACATGTTTATGTTCAGACATGCTAGCATCAGCAGAAGGAATATGTAATAGTGTCCCTCACCAGGGGGCTTGCACATGCGGATCTGGCTCTGGCACTGCACCAGTGGATGAAGTGTCGGCAGAGGGCTGCTGGGGCTGCTGGGAGGCACAGAGGTAGCTTTGGCAGAAAGACCTGTCACACCAGCAACTGGAGGTGAAGGTGGTGGGGAGGGGGACGGAGAAGTAGGTGAACCGCACTGGGTCTGGTATCGAAGTTGGGTAAGGGAGGGGGGCATGCCCTGGTAATGCCGTGTTGCACTCAGGAGATCGTTGAGGATCTGCAGGATGGTACTGATATCACGCCTAGGACGTCCGTTGCTGTCTTGGCAATTAGGGTGCAAAGTGCCTTAAAAAAATGAAGAAGACGATAAATTAGTACATGGGTCTTTTTGTGCAAATAGTCATTGTGACAAGATTTTACAGAAAGTTTTTTTATACCTGAAAAGGTCCCTGAGAAGACTCCGGGAGCATGGTTGACAAAGCTTTCAATTATGGCCCCAGGTTTGCGGGAGCGTGATGAGGAACTGGTGCCACTCTTAGGGCTACTGGTGCTGCAGTTAGCCTGGAGGAGGAAAGACGTACAACGGTGGTTGGAAAAGATAAACATTTCTCTTACAAAAACCAAAAAAAAGAACACAAACCAAATATGTTCCAAGGTCCAAAGTGGTTTGTTAAGTACCAAGCTTGTGAGCTGTGACTTGATTCGAACACCAAAGCATTGTTCCAAGGCTCTCTTTGTGAGTTCTGTAAGTGACCTTTATATCAGGGTTTTGTAACAACTATAAGCAACTATGTAAGAAACTGTATGTAAGAAAGCAGTCAGGACTGACTTTATTAGAAACCCTTGCACACAGGAAACCTGAGCTTTCTACCATCTGACAGCTCCCAACACCCACGATATCTTGTAACTCTGCAAACCAGAGACCAAGCCAAAGTTGCCAACCTGGATACTGCACTTTAACCTGACAGGTACAACTTAATTGAAAACAAACGATATACTGCAAAAAAAAAAAAAAAAAAAAAACCTTTTTTTAAAAAAGGGGTTTTTTTTTTTTTTTCACAATTCCCTTCCAACCTGGATACTGCACTTTAACCTGACAGGTACAACTTAATTGAAAACAAACGATATACTGCAAAAAAAAAACAAAAAAAAAAACCTTATTATGAAAAAGAGGTCTTTTTATTTTCTTACCAATTCACTGATCTATGTCTGTGTATTTTACGGTGGGAGGCGTTAGTCAGTTAACTCCCATACACTCAGCTAACATCTGGTTCTTATTCTATTACCAGAGGGTAGAACTTGAGATTCAGGACTATGCATCAACAGCTAATTTGAATAGTGGTGATGAGTGTGTGCAGCTGTTCTTAAAGTTACCAAAGAAAAATAAATAGCTCTAACAGGTTAATGACTAATGACTAAAAAGGTTAATTATCAGTCTTTCCTTGAAAAACCAACATTCTTTTCCTGACCTTCTTCCTTCCCTAAACATTTCACAGGGAAGGATGAGGTTATATAAATGTTATGTCCTTCTGTCTAATTGTGTATGTTGGCCATGTTGCATGCATTTGGAGGAGTTAGTCTGGTCTTCAATAACAATTTAACTTTGTTAGTGTGGACAAATGAAGTGTAAATCTCCCCCTAAACATCCCACGACAGGAAGATCCCACTAAACCGAGGAATTTGGGGGAAGATTTAGTTCAATGTTCGACACGTAAGAGGGCTCAGGAGAGATGTTCAGAAAAATCAGGACACATAAACCAATGCTTCAGCTGGGCTTACCTCTGGGCACAAGACTGGGGCTACAGGGCTGGACTGGCCGACGTCATGGCTGGGTTGGCCTGAGGAAGGCTGATGGTAGTGGTGATGGTGGTGGTGGTGATGAGCCGGAGAGCGGAAAACACCTCCAGGGATGTGTGATGGGCGAGGGGAATGGGGCGGAGGAGGTATAGTAGGAGAGCTACAATGAGCAGGGGAGGGTGACTGGTGGTACATGGGTGGGAGTGGCTGGTGGTGAGTGGTGGGCAAGTTGAATGAATGGGTGCCTGAGGAAGGGGTGGAGGGGGCCATGTGAGGATGGGTTAAGTGGGGGCTGGGATGACTGTGAGGTTGATGGGGGTGGTGATGGAGGGGTGGGTGAGCGTGGGGAACACGGGGCTGTCCTGCAGGGTGTCCCGCTGTGGTGTCCGAGGAGCCACGGGTTATAAGATGTCTGTGCTGGAGCTGAGGACCCCCAGACTGCTGTGCCGCCAATTGCAGCTGAACGAACATCATGTGATCGCCAACACGCAGTGCCAGGGTGAGGGGGGAACGGCCGGACAGGAAGTCACTGACCTGCAATGATTTAAAAAAATACATGTTAGAAAGTTGCCTTTATATTGATTTAATGCCGGTCTGTTGGAGTTGTCTGTGGTTGGTATGTTCACAAATATATGCCTTAGCTTTCCCTCTTATGGACTTACAGTAAAGACAAATAGTCCAAGATACAATCTGCTGGATGAGGAGGACTATCAGAACACAAATACATGAATAAAGCCCACCCTGTCTTTCTACTGCCCCACTTAGTCTGTTGTTAGTTAGCAGTGTAATTGATCTAAGAGACAAAGGCCAGCCTTCTGTCTGAGCCTTGGCCTGATAGAAAAAATAAATAAATAAATAAAATCAGTCCCACGTCCAGGAAATACACTCCGCCTGCCTCTCAAACACAGAATGGACGATTGTCCGGTGTCTGCAGCGGAACTGGAAGGGCAGCCCATTTTTGGAGCTCTGGCAATGGGGGACAAGAGCGGAGTTTGAAGGCCTCCACTGATCCACCCATGGCCCGGATGGACACACAAATACACACACACACTATAGAAAAGTTGTCACTACTTGGCTCGGGATTCACATTAAGCAACAAAAGTTCTCTTGTCCTCTTTCGGCAGGCTACAACAAACTCACTGTGAATTGCTGCTCAGTGGTCAATAGCGTGCACGTGTTACTTTGTGTATGCATATTCTTGTGAGAGTCATCTTATGGTCAGAAAGCTTCTCTGGCCCACCAAGACTCATCAGTAATGGCTTCTTTGGTTTACCCAAACCAGAAGCAAACAAAATGGGCAAACACAGTGACGGCACTGTCTAAAAAAGAAAAAAAAAGGATTCGACAACTTTAAAATCCATTGGGATTTCAGTGCTCAGAGTGGCAGAGAAGGAGGAGAGACACGGGATAGGAAAAGCAACAATCAAGGGCTATACGAGAAGGAGAAAGGGAGATAGATTTAAAAACTAATGAAAGCAGAGAAAACTAGTAATAAGGCAGGGGTAAGAAGCCAGGAAGAGAGAGCACAGGCTTAACTCCCTGAAGACCACGGAGCCTTTGGAGTGTGCTTCAGAGATGTTGGCCTGTAGTTAACCTGGTGAACCAGCAGCCTTTGGCCTCCATTACTTCTTTCCCCTCTTGCTTATTTATTTCTCTATCGACCACTGCCTCTCTGTTGCCAGGGTGACCTTTAGACACTGATATTGACATGGTGTGGAAAAGAGGACGGAGGGAGAACAGAAGCAGGTGAGGGGGTTTGGATTTTCTGACGGCTTTATTTCAACATGAACAACATGATAATGAACATGGCAGCAGAGAAAAAAGACACCAGCACAGTGGCTGCAGCAGGTTAAACAGAAACTTAGACTTTCAGTGAGTAAACTCTGTCACTAATGGCCTGTTGGATCCTATGTTAACCTGGTGAACCAGCAGCCTTTGGCCTCCATTACTTCTTTCCCCTCTTGCTTATTTATTTCTCTATCGACCACTGCCTCTCTGTTGCCAGGGTGACCTTTAGACACTGATATTGACATGGTGTGGAAAAGAGGACGGAGGGAGAACAGAAGCAGGTGAGGGGGTTTGGATTTTCTGACGGCTTTATTTCAACATGAACAACATGATAATGAACATGGCAGCAGAGAAAAAAGACACCAGCACAGTGGCTGCAGCAGGTTAAACAGAAACTTAGACTTTCAGTGAGTAAACTCTGTCACTAATGGCCTGTTGATATAGTCCACACCCACCATGATCACCCCATCGTGGTAAGACAATAAATTCAACAGACCTGGGGCAGGGTGTGAAGCAAGAATGGAAGGAGGAGTAGGGTTTTATGTGAGACTACTATAACAAAGTCTATGCATAAAAGGTCACCTAATACACAAGGTGTGTGTGTGTATGTGTTTTCTTACAGCCTTGGGTGGAATCACAAATTTGCTAGGTGTGTGACAGATAAGAAAAAACTGCTGACTACGCTGATGACGGATAGGCGTCAAGAAACAGAGTTGACAGTTTGCTAACTAACAACAAACAGACCTGGGTGGATCTATGAGAAGTCAGTGCCCCAAGGGAGACTGTAAACCCTGTTTAAGAAGGAGAGGGAGGAGGAACGGGGAGAAAAAAGCCACGAGAAGCCAGAAGGTGTTTGCCCGTGGTATAATTTAAACCGCCTGTAATACCTGCTCATACTGCATGCATAATCTATTTGTTTTCATCAGCAGGGAACAGTTATTTTTTAGAAACAGGGAATGTTGAATACATTCTGTTCTTGGATTTCTTCATGAAGACATGCTTTATATAGTGTATATATTTTTTCCAACAAGAAAATTCACAAGGATTGCAGTTAGTGATGTTTTGTTTTTTTTTGCTATAGCAGAGGGTTTTACGTTGTGTGTGTTTGTGTGCAGGCCAGTATGAGAGAAGAGGGCTGATAATGAGTGACAGCGGTAAAAACAGAGGAGGCTTGATTACCCTTATAATGACTAGTTTGGATTATTCAAAATCACAAAGATGAAATTCATGCACTCCTACTGCACGTCCAACACCACAAGGCAGACTTAAAATAAGCCTGCATTAGAGGCAAGCTCTTACCCCTACATTTATTTTCCATTCTGCTTTTCCTCCTGCAGTCAATTTGTGTCACTCCTTATTGTAGCGTCTTAGTCACTGACTCCAAAAGTCAATTTGGAGGTTGCTCACACGAGTATAGATGACTCTTACATACATAAAGGCTAAAAAAGTGTGTGTGGAAAGGTCTCCTCTGTGATATATGCATGTGACTCATATGGGGTCTTTACACATAACACGCCCAGCATCACAACTTCATCTTGGGGAGAGAGATTAAAAGGCACGCAAACCCACATAAACACAGACTTCTAATTTGCAGGGTAAATGACAGAGGACATTTCGACAACCGCAATCTATTTGGTCACTTTCTTTTTCCTGGAAAGATAAACAACAGCAGCAGAAGTCAACCTCCAGGTATAGAATTACCCAGTTTCACTGTGGAAATTTGCACTTCTTTCAATGGACACGCTATTTTCACAACAGTCAGAGAAAAGGAAAGCAAACAGCTTTTGCAGCTTGTAGCCGGGGGCTGTGGAGTGGAACACCTGAAATAGTGCTTGTTTCCTGAGGGAGGGGAGGAGGCGAAGGGTGATATAGCACAACCTGCCTGTTTGCCAAAGGCTTGATAGGCGAGAGTGATCAGGTAACAACAAGCTTCTTCCAGACGGACAGAAACTGGAAGAAAAGGACGGGCAGTGAATGTTTCTGTGCGTTCGAGGGGGTAGATGGGGGTGGTTCTCTACTACTAGAGAGCGGGGAAGCAAATGATTCCCAGAGGTCTCAGCTAGCAACTCAGCTCCAGTCCAAACATGTCTGTCTGTTCTCCGGAGCACAGCCAAGAAAGCCAATGTGGCTTGCTACCACTGACATCAGGGCCGACATGAGATAAAGCCTTCTGGAACATCACAGGCAAACAAAAGCTTCTACGGCTTCGCCTTTAATTCCTATTTCTTCAACAGCTTTTCTACCAGTGTATAAAGACCATCTTTACAAAAGTAACCTATAGTTGTCGATGTGGAGAGGTTTTTCTGTGTCAAAGACAAAGCAAAGAGAGGGGAGGGCCTCCTTTTTGTTCTGTTTCGGCAGACACAGGGAAACCAGCCCTTTATTGTTCCCTTCTCTGATGCAGTGGTATGAGAAAAGACCAGCCCAAGGTGTGTCGGCTGGAAACAACATACACAACATACAGTAGCTAGGTGTCTGTTTTAAACACAAGTCCATATGTTAGATGTCACAGATTGACAGGGTGACTTTTTTTTTTATGAACCTTGTTTGTTGTAGAGTAATGGCCCCTTGGCTGATTTCAGCAACCATTTCAATTTTATTCAGTGTGGTCCAGAAGACTGGGGCATTCTTTATTGGGCAGCTTTGTTGTTTCTATGTTCTGTAATGCAGAAGGGAATATGATATGAAGGAGTCGAAAAAGATGGAGGACAAAAGGGGGAGGATGGCATGAGCGAGGAAAGGAGCTAGGTTAGCGGGGGGATGGGTGATGGGGGATGTGGGTGATGGGGGTAGGGTGTCAGAAGAGTGGTGGTGCTGCTGATGGCGGGTGATGAAATATTCAGTGAGAGTGTGCCTCCGGCTTCTTCCTCTTTTTTCAACATCTCTGGCTGACAGTTTTATTTATTGGGGTCCCTGTGGTTCAAGGAACTCATTTGCAGTCGTTCTTCCTTTGCACACTAAGCAAGCTAAAGGAGGGAGATAAGAAGTGAGGAAGGAAGAGAGAGCTGGGGATGGACCGAAAAGGAAAGACAGAGGCTCCACTGAGCTGACATTCATGAACAGCTAGTGCCAAAGAAATGTGGGTAGACGGTTGCGGGGCAGGACAGGAGGGTGGAGAAGGGGAAGCCGGGAGTAAGGGTATCTTCCTTTCTCAGAGCCATTTTTTTTTTCCAAGTGCTGCTCATCAGACTCGTCAGACTCCCAGGTAAAGTAGTGTACACGTTCAAAAAGCTGCTTATAAACCTGCCTATCGACCTAGATGTTTTGATCGCTCCAGAACACGATTAATATTCGCAGTACAAACACATGCTGGCTAAAGATGCAATAACAGACTCTCAAAGAGAGAACAAAAAAAAAGAAAAATCAATGACTTGCATCATGCTCTAAATCTTAAAAGCAGCCAGATCCCGCAATAACAAAGATAGGCATTCAATTCATGGCCTTAAAAGAAGGAGGTAGCCCATAAAAGACCAAAAAAAAAAACAAAAAAAAAAACAACCAGCTGGTTTTAACCCCAATTTGATTGATGAGGTACAAAGATTTATGATTTAGAAAGTTTTGTATGATCGAGTTCACAAGGACACACCCTTCACTTATTCTTTGCCAAAAACTGCTCTGTTATGGCAAGTTGATACACAAGCACACACATTAGCCGTGTGAGCATCCCCCAACCTTCCTTCACCAGCTCTATCTCTGAACAGAAGACTAACATCTTAATTGTCTAACTGCTGCTTACACACGCCTTGATTCCTGATTAAGATCATTTTGTATGGAAAGTCTAAAAAAAGAACAAATAAATACAGCAATTGGATACATCTAACCTTTATGTGCAGCAGTGCAATTGGTCCTGAAAAGTAGAGCCTCTTCTGTTTGCAATAAAGTTAGATAAGTGCAGGTAGGAGAAAACTGATTATAAGGTGAGTAGAAGATCAGCTGTAATACTCCTGACCTCAGTCCTCCCACAATGTCAACCAACTAGTCACGATGCTTGATTGTTGAATAACAAAAGCTCATTGTCACCCGGGAAAGGAGGACAATAGTCACTCCTCAAAAGCAGGAAGGTGGTCCGTACCTGACCTCTGAGTGAGCTCTCATGCACAGATACAGACACTAGAGAAGGACACTGGTGCATGTGCACACACACTCATATATACAACATGTGAGCACTTGCTCTAATTGGGCAATGAATCCCCCTTAAACCAGTTACATGTTACAAACACCTATTAGTCCAACTGCCATTTTTTGTATGCCAGTGGTGCAGCCTTATTCTGTTTTGTCGTCGTGTTTCAGAGGATGTCCTTGATGTTGCGCCATCATACTGGCAGTTGTCACATGACACGACTAGGGCAGCATTGCAACAGTTAAGTGTAAGTAAGCTCATTGTGAAAACTTTTTTGTGCTAACATGGCAGCAATATTATCCCAATTTCATACATACCAGGGAGCAAAACAGCCTATTTTAAACTGCAGGTATATAGACCAAGAAGACCATTTCAATAGTAGTGGGTATAATGCAGACACACGTTTAATCAATTAATTTTTCACTGACCAATGTACCAACCAATGTACCAACTCACTACTTAGTAATCAGTTCAAATTCAGCCAATTCAGTTACTAATTTAGATTTCTGAAGATCGAGTCAGAGTGGTGTTTAGTGTGAAAAATGAAATGCACAAACTGTTTATCACACAGTCATGATAGCACATGACATAATTAATTGTCCATATGCTCAATTCTTGCACACACACAAAGCTTTTCCTTTATTTTTTTTTCTTCATTTTTCGATCCCACTGAGGCGCCCCATACGGGAGGCAGAGCAGGGAAAATGAGGTGCTGGTGTCTGAGAGAAGTGTCCATTTATATAATTAGAATCAGCTGGCTTGTTCCTGAACAAAACCATACCTACAAACCTTTCTATAGGGAAGAATGTAAGTGCCTGTTCAGATATGTGGCGACAGAATCCACAAAGACACCTACTGGAGAATAGCAGCACACATACTCCTCCCAAAGCAATCTATGGTGAGGTTTAAAAAAATGTCAATCTGATGCCTGTGCTAGGCTCCAGCTGGACCGTCGATGCATTGATTTTAAACGCAAATGTGTTGCTTCACCTGCTTTCATGTGGGTGGGGCTTCTGCCTTCATATCTATGTCAAGCCAGATTAATTTAAGAGGACAGCCAAACTCAAAAGTATGATCCTCCATGTGTCTGAGGGTTTGTCAGCTGGGCAGGTTTGCTCTAAGACAGGAACAAAGAGGTGGCTGCATGGGGGAAGGGCAGCGGGGGGATGGTGATGCTGATGCCTGCCTGCCTGGCTTTTATTCTAACATCAATGTGCATCAATGAGCAAATAGTCCCTGTGTGCTGAGAGAAACATATAATCCTTCTCTTTCTGTCAAATACCAGGATCAATGCATGTGAGTGCCAGCATATGCGAAACTGTGAATATTGCTTTCATTTCTGGTTCACTGCTCATCTTACTCACATGTATACATTTGTGTGTATATATATATATATATATATATATATATATCTGTCCATGACAGTGTAAATGGGCTGCACACCAAACCAATATTTAGCAGACGCAGAGAATTTTTGATAGTAATAACAAGAGTTTTTGCAGGGAACTTTAAGGCGGTATCAGTTTAGATGTCATTTCGGGGTCAGAAAAGTGGGGACAGTCACATGCATTTTTGATGGATTTGCACAACAGCAGCACATTGTAATTATTAACCCCTTAAGGGCTGTTAAATAGAATGATGAAAATGGTTTAAAATAGATCTAAGTAGTAAGTAAAACCCAAGCACAATAATTTTGGCCATACTTCTTCACAACACAAGATTTTCAGGGCTGCAAATGTGTGAAACAGCTGTGAGAGCTCTCGAGTGTTGCCGTACAGTTTAACCATCTATGCTAAACTACCAAAAATGTAATGGGGTTCATGAGTATGAGATGACCCCCTTTGCTTTCCACTATTACAGCTTTACTTCCAGAGAAAACACCTGATCTGGTAATAAGACCTCACATGACTGAAGCGGAGACGAGTGGAAAGGAGTCAAACGTTCCAGGTTTCCAAACCATGGACTTCTAATGCTACTACTTACAGCCAGGCCACAGCTCCTTCATAGGTTATTTTGGGTGTATAAGAATATACATTTTCATGCTGGACACTTTAATAGCTAAGTGCATTGATTGATTTTTGATAGGCCCACAGTTGGACAGGAAAGAGGAAATGGGGGAGAGCTTTTGTGTTTATTCTATTTTCTAATCTTACTCTTAGTTCAGTAGTCTAAAGTGTTTCTCTTTCACTTCATGAATTATAAAGAGGAAACATTTCTCTAAAAAAAACACGGTAAATCAGATTTCCCTTGATAAAACTGATGCTTAAGAGATTGAACCTTAATTTGTATGAAACAGCAATTCAGGGTGATAAGGTAAAACTATTTCACGGTTAAATGTGACAGAAGTTTTTGGGGCGTTGTGCTTTGCGATATTCAACATTGTTTAAACTATTAGAGGCCCAGGTAAAGCAGGTAAGAATAACTCACACCATCTCAAGCCCTGCTAGCTGCTCGCCAGGTCGTGATAATAATATCAGAGTTATATAATAATAATATAATTATATCAAATTATCTTGTATTATATCAAAATACAAGATAAATAAACACATTGACAGTACTGTATGTATTTTATTAACAATTCACATGCAAATATTCAAGGCCGTGGTTCATTTAATTTTGCTTTTATTTCCTCTTCTAGTAGATCTAGATCACAATGTTAAAGCATTGTGTGTTTACTATGCCGATAGTTTTCCTACAGCTACATTTAAAAATAACCCAATATACTGTCATGTCTATAGTATTACAGTATAGGGTAGGGGCAAAGCCTTCTTCTACTCTTATATACTGCACACACCATGTGACCAGATGTGCATGTCCCTCTACATTAGTCATCTGCTGTCACACTACAAGAGTTCAATCACATGGCCAGGGCGTCCACCGCAAATATTATCAGCAGGCACAAAAGCCACAAAACACCAGTATTTCTCACTTTCGGTGGTTTCACTGCACAAAATGTGAATTACCAATTTAGAGTAATTTATTTGGCAACCGCTGAACTGCTGACACACGCAACTCGGCATCTGATTTCACCACCTTGTGCTTTAGACACCAGCCAGCAGCGCGTCATTGGTGCAGCTACGTACATCACAGTGTTACCAAACACTACAAAGGAAGTTGATCTGAGTCAGTCAGCTGCACAGTGTTTCATACGTCACACTGTTGTCTGTGTGCGTTCAGCCTTGGAGCCGCTGTGGCTCGGTCACACGCTCGCTTCAGCACTGTGTGCCTTTAACTGATCGATCACATGTATGAGTCATTCCAGAGTGAGTCAAATACATACAGTGTTTTAATGGGCCTTCAGAGGCATTTCGATGCACATCAAGGTGTAGACCTGACTGTGCATGCAGGGCTTCCTGGAAACCTATGCTAATTGTGAGTGAAAAAGGCAGTCGCCCGATGAGCTTGTGCTCTGTTTATGAGTTAGTCAGACCACACTGTTTCTAGCGGCGGCCACTGCACACTTCCTGGAAACTTGTCTGTTTTGTGTATGTGTATGTGATGGTGCGTGTATGTGTGTGTGTGTTTAAGTGTGAAGGTGCATATGGGACAATAACACACGAAGGGGGGGATGGGGTAAAAAGAATAAAAATGAAATAGAAAGGTAGACATAAGTCACCTACAAATTAGCCCATGCTTCCTTTCACTTAGGCTTCCTGTACTGTACATTAAAAACAGACTGCATCTCCCATCTGTGAGGCTCTGTCAGAGCTGTGACTGCTGTTCTGTACTTAACCAAGGCTAGTACTACCTCAACCCCCACAGAAACAGTCTAGAGTGCAGTCAAGACTGTAGCCAAGTGAATAAAAAAACTGTGCAACAAGATTTCCTTCAAGGTCAATAACCAGGGAACAGTAACCGTCTTACCTGAGTTTCTGTTAGGCTCTCCAAAGCCTGCATTACTGACTGCTCTGGTCTTGATGCTTGAGACTGCACAGAGACAAATAATTCATGCACTATTAACGATGAACAATGATCGGTAGACGTCAAAGTGATCTATTGGAAATACTAAGAACCTGCAATTTTAAAATGATATTAGTCATGCACACTAAAATTCAAATAAGTCAGACAGGTCTCACCATTAATCCTGCTTCAACTGTTGGTACAAGTGTTAACTTGCTCCCATCAGAGATGCCAAAATCCTGGAGTTTTCCTGAACTTAGTCGCCTGCAGGGATGAAGAGAACAAGATAATTAGAGTGTGCTGACAATACCTCCCTTCTTTCTTCAGACACACAAACACCCTTTAGCTAAGGGGAGCAGACAGACTTCAAACCTTGTTTCAGATGGAGCCGTGGGTTAAAGCACCATGAAAGAAAAGTATTGATTTGGCTGTCATATTTCAATTTCTAGTACGGTGGAGCTTGACAATTGTTCGCGGCGGATGTTTGGTACTGCTGCCACTTGCCTAAGTGAAGGTGGGCATTTTCGTTTGTGTTTTGAGTTGTAAAAATGAGGAGCCAAACTGCGCACTGAAATCAAAACCATTGTGTTTTTGATACTTAACTGTACTGCGGTGATCACATTACTGGCACTGCTAGAGTAAAGTTCACAGATGACATTGAGATCATTATGGCACCTTGTACTACCATTTTGAGGGGGGGAAAACGACAATAAACACTCACATAAAAATAAAAGTAGAGTTTCACGCACAGTATCATGCCTGGTCGACAACACAAAAATGCCTGCTATTCTGATGATGCACCAAAACACCTGGAGTCTAAGTTAAGGTCTTTTCTTTTTTTTCCTACCACCTACAGCTTTAAACAGGATGTTTAGAAAACCCTGAGGTACACTTCTGACCCATATCTTAAAATAGTTGAACAAAGACCTTGAATGCTGCTTTGCTACAGGTCTGAGGTATAAGAGACAGTAGAGGATTAGGGAGAAGGGTTTTAGGTGATAAAAGATGGTGTGATTTATGTGGTAATTACAGTGACTGGTAAGGGATAAGGGGGTTGGAAAACAAAGCTGACAGTTTGCAAATAAACCACCACCACCCATTTGTTTTGCATAACATCGCCTGCCCTATTGTTAGTTTGTTTTACTTAACCCTGGTCACGTGGGATAATACTGCAGGGTTTTTAAAGGCTTTGAATAACGAAGGCTTTTTGTAATGCCTCTCCCATACTGCTCCTTCCTCTGACCAGGCAACTGACCAGCTCACGCATTCACACCCAGAAACTCAATAAGAGAATCAGCTCTTTCAGAAAGAGACTAAAGTCTAGCTGGTTGAAGATACGCACTTACAACCTATCCCTACCTTAGCAAACACTTTTATGATAGAATAACACTATAAAATCACGTAGAACAAATATATGTACCCGTAATAACACAGTAAATGAGTATGTGCGAGTGTGTCTATCAATGTTTAATGCCCATGAGCTGCACAGGATTAGCAGTTCAGTCAGGCTTCTGTATTTATAATGCAGCAAGGATGAATCAATGCAAGTCTGCAGATCGTCCTTGTTGTCAATACTACTCCGGTGACCGGTGTGTCCCCTATGTGAATAATTCCAATACAGTGGTCAGTGGTTTCCTTGAAAGTATTGACCACCAAAGAAGCCAAGGTTGGGTCAGAAGCCACTGAGAGCTTGACGATTTAAATAAAACTATTAATTCAAAAAGTGTGGATTTGAAACACTTCCCTGTGTGGCTTCAGGGTAGATGCAGTCGAACTCGGATCACTTAGAAAAGGCTCTACTGAGTTTAACAGACATAGAAACTGGTCGAAATTTAGCGAAAGAAAAATAAGCAATCGACAGCAGTTCGATTATATAATAATAATAATAATTTACTCCTTTTATGATAAGTCCCTGTCGTGGACGGATAAACATATGCATTCATACTCACGTTTCTTTGTGCAGCAGCGCGAGTCTCTCTTTTGGTACTTTGAGTCTTTGCGACAGCCTCTTCTTCAGGCCCTCCACGGTCTCCTCCAGGGGCAGGGAGAGCTCGAAGCGTGTGCCAGTGGTGGAGTGGATGTAAAGATTCATGGAGGGCTCAGTCGGGACGGCCTCGCAGGTCGGAGCACCACGACTAGTGCAGCTCCGGGTGTTCGGGTGCTGGTCCATCCGATAACCTGTGGTCAGAAGAGGGCAGACGAGACGAGCAGAGCCGCGGTTATGGAGGAAAAAATGGGGGAAGGTGGTCCCGTCGCGTCGGCTACCGTCCCTTGTTCAGCTTTGTAATGAAAGGCAGCATTCAGAGAGCTATCTCTCTTTCTCTATCTCTCTCTCTCTCTCGGATGGTGGGAATAAAACCCAGTCCGTCTCCTCTCCGGTCGATATCAAATATCCCACAGGAATGTAAACTACATATGGCTCGCCCTTCTTTTCTCTTCGTTTGATCTGTTCTCTTTGTTGCCCCTTTTCTTGCGCAGGCGAAACTCCTCCTGATTGCTACATGGGATGTGCAAATACCAGGCAGAGACTAAGAGCTGTTGTTGTTATCTATAATTGCCAAGGGCGCTTATTTATCGTTCAGAAACAAAACACAAGAGTAATTATTGTGTCTAGTAAAAAATAACAAAGTACCCTTTTGAAGAAGGAAAAAGAAAACAGCAGTTGCTCCGTGAGCAGCAAAGCCTCAAATTCAGGAGTAGTGGCGAGAGGCTCCGCGCTGCGCACTCACACCCACGGCGGCTGCTACGGCGAAAATATCCACAATGAACATTGTCACAAAAGTATCCCACTTCCACCTTCGATAAATACGCCCACAGCAGCCCTAGGCGGCTCAGCCAATTAGAAGAGAGCTCCGTCAGGACGCTGTTGTTCCCAGCCAATGGCTGACTTTGCTCCACACCCACGTGCAGGGCAGGCGAGTTAAAGCCATTCATAATAAATTACAGTATATGGCAAATACACAGTGTCCTCAAGATAACAACCACTGTACTTTTACAAGGTCCTTTACAAAAGCACGTTTTTTTACTTAATATCTTCCTACCAACAACTGATTTGCCCCGATTACTCATTTGTATCGATTTCTTTTATGTCCATAATAAAATAGTGTTGTATTTTATGTATGGTCACATCTCTACGGAGGTTGAGCGTTTGAGAGTTAAAATAAAACAAGAATGCCACTGTTCTGAAAAACAGTGCGTAATTTTTGTAACCTGCTACGCTTGGTGCTTTTGTTCTATTTTTAAAACACATTTCTTACACAAGGTATATACCCGTGAACTTACTTCGGAAATCAATCAAAGTAATTCTGATTCTGATATTAAGTAACCGTGTTTCTCTTTAAAACAGAGTTTACGAGAAACACATGCTAAACATGCTAGAGTCGTACAGTAAATACAAATGTATGGGTTTTTATCTTTAAAACAGAAGTCGCAACCGTTGTCGGGTCGTTTTCAGCAATAAAAATGAGAAGATTTAAATGCACAGCAAAACTGCCCAACAAAAAATAATAAATCAGCAGACGATACTTCCTACACCAGACTCCATCGTAGTAAAAACGACACACTTCTGCCACCCAGTGGCCAAGAGGGAGTCCACTAACATAAAATAAAATGTTTACAATTGTAATTCTCAAATTAAGGTATTCGTAAAAATAAAATAAAACGTCACATCATGGCGCTCGTCATACAGAATCAAACATAAAACGAGATTATTATTTTAAAAACCGGGACTGGTGTTGCGCCCGTGTTATTCCGAATATTGCCGCTATTCTTTAAACCAAAAAATTAGACCAGGGACAAGCTGTCAGCTTAGTATAAATGAGGAAAAAAGGTGTCAGACTATTGTCGACTGAATATGGAATCGATTATTGCCTCAGAGTTTATTCTATCTGACTGCTTTTATCGATCCGGGATTGATCACTGGCGGGCAAATCGATTACGTAGCCAACAAAACAATATTGTCCCGGCGAAAATCTGTTTACTGGTACACAGCGTCCCAGACAGTGTGTTAACAGGAGTAAAGTATGAATCCACTAAGTGTACTCACCTAATATTGTGGCGAAAACTGTGAAGCTTCGCGCTTGTGTCACTTTCGTCCCAGTCGGTTCCCCCAGCTTTGGTATGTAAAGTGAAAACTCAGATCAGATGAATAATTCCACTCGTACATCCACGGGTGTCGTTGCTGTCTATGAAAGCTCCTGTCGTTTTCTCCCCAGTTTATTCTCTCTTGCCAGTCCCGGCGTGCCCAGCGCACTACGTGACGTAGCGAGTACCGGCTCCCACTGGCCAATGAGAAGCCGCTGATGAAGGCAGTGTGTGCTGTTGGCACACCGCTACTTCTGCTGGTAATGAAGGTGAGCCACCTCACACAGCCACCTTACACAGTCTAGGTCTGCTGGATATATGGGAGGAGAGCGTCGCACTTGTTATGTCAGCATGTGGTTTAAGGAGGCCACGCTCGTGCATTTACTGGCAGCTGTTCCCGCTGGGAAAGAATTCTGCCTGGCAATTAGCAGCAGCAGAAAAACATTAGTGTGTCAGCACTGCATCGACACAATGACTTTTGATAGACGCTCTTGCATAAATAGAAACTAAATATAACCAACACGCGGTCCTTCCACCTTTAAAACAGTCAATGAAAAAATGATTTAAAGAAGCCGGGGGCGTTGCCATATTTTGACTGCGTAGAAAAATGTTACCTGGTAACAGGGCAGGTAAACATGCTGCTAGGATACGAAAGCACGTCACACTGATAAACAAACACACCCACAATGCAATTTCTAATCGAGCATTTTGCAGTTAACATCACACCAGCAGAAACGGATCCTGGGGATTCCAGGAACTGGGGTTGGTGTACTTATCAGGTTCACGTTATGGGTCAAATCAGGGGTGTTCTTATATGAAGTTTGCATTTTTGCAATTTTTTTTTTTGGGACTGGATATTAATTGATGTAGTAAGTCCTGCATGAGAGCCCAGGATGTTGTGACAATTAAATATTTAGTTTAATTATTTCTAATTATTTGAAAATGAATTAAGTAATAGTGGTAACTACCTATTTAAATTCCATTGAAACTCAAACTGGTTTGGAGTGAGACTTTTCAGGTACTGTGGCAACCAGCTGTAGACGATCCTTAAAGCACTGTCGTAAACAATCTATTGCACAACACTGTCATTTGTTTGGAACTCTTATAAGGTTGCAGTACATTTTTTGTGTTGTTACAGGTATCAGGGATGGACGATGGATGTAGTTAAATCAAAGCATAAACCACCACAAATGCTAGAACATAGGATTTTAGGTAATAGTTTTATTTAAATAAAAGTTCGACTAAACATTAACAGGCCCAGACTGTTTACTTTTCTTCACTGTTTGCATAAATGTACATTGTGTAATGTGTTACTGTGAAGGAGAAAAGAGGAAACTGTTGTGCAATATGCAGTATAAAGGGTCATTTCTGACTTGACATTTATTAGTCTGACTATAACCAGCCAACAAGTGAACTTCCCACAAGCCTCAGGTTCAGCACAGTCTGTCTGATGACAGAGACACATTCCTCAGTGTAGTGCAGTGGACATCGTGCCCCACCAGCATATTATCACACTGTCTGGAAAATGATTCCTGCAAGGTAGGTGCGGACGCGTGTGTGAGAAAGAGAGAAAGAGGAAGCATTGTATCTGGAAAAAAAAAAGACCTTATCTCTAAAAGATTCAACAATCTGATGAAGGTAGCAGTCTTTGCCCGGCCCCAGCAGTCCTCTCTCTCTCTGGCTCTTTATGTGCCTCCATCTCTTTACTATCTCCATGGAAAATGCTGACTCAGGAGAACAAAGTGAGAGGAGTTAGTTCAAGTCCTAGCTGCACAGAAACACAACCCTTTGTCCTAGTCAACAGTTGCACCTTTGAATTGTCCCGCTCTGTTTCTTGTTTTGCGGCCTGGCGGAAACATGAGACCTTGAAAATAACTCGGTACAAGACGTCTGTACAGAGAGGAAGCCAATCTGCACTGGTGTTTTTCATTCCATTCACCTGGGAGCCAACTTTTTGTCAGCAGTGATACGACTTGTGTTCATAAGCAAGTTTGGGTGTGAACTCAGCCAAGGTCACGCACAACTCTCTGACCTCATCTACCATAGTTAGACCTGTGCAGTGAGTAAACAGAGGTAGGGCATGTAGTGTTAGAGTTTCCCGGCATTCTGGGTTAAGACCTGCTTTTACTACATCATTTGTTAATATCTAATATTGTAATATAATTCCATCTCTAATAATGTGGCTAATCGAACCATATCAAGTAAAAACCTCTACGGTAATGCTCACATTTGTCATCATATATTTTAAAAGCCACATATTTTTCACTATGTTGTTCATGGTACAGTAATGATGCACATGGGTAACTTGTGATGGAGGAGACAAGAGCAACCCTCATATGCTCCCACGTGCACATCTACATGATAATGAATCACATATACAGCACTTATGGGAAAAGCTTATTGACATGGGAGGAAGGCTGCGTGGGTGAGTTATAAACACTTCACACTGGATATCAGATCGGTTTGGACGGAGAAGGCTGTACTTGACTGTGTGCATGCCCGTCTTTAACCTCGTACTTGTGTGTCCATGTGTAAGCAAAAACACACAAGTTGTTGTGTGAGAGCTTGAGTGTGTGGGACATGTGTGGGCGTGTGTGTGTGGGAGGGTAAGCAACATTCCTATCCATCAAAGTCATGAGTATACCGCCCTCTGCCTCAGGAGGAACATGAACCATACCCATCACACTCATCCTGGCTCTGTTGTTCTCCTGCCACCATTTCGTCCTGATTCACAATTGTGTTGGGTGACACACCTCATCATCGTAACACCGAGTCCACAACCTCAACACCTGCAGCTGACTCAAAAACATGCTCACATACTTGACAAGCTGACAAAAAGGTGTGAGTTGCCTTTAAAAATATAAAACGGAAATCCATTTTCTGGCTTCACATATGTAAATAATTATATTCATAAAAACATCAAGCAGAAAAATGTGGTAGAAGGACAGTAAATAGTTAATTTACTGAACCCATGGGTAATGCAACATAAAAATTATGATGATTAATTGATTGATTATTTAATCTTCTACTATTTTATCCTTTCCAGGGTCGTGAAGTAACAGGAGACAATCCCAGCAGTCATACAGTAAAGGCCACTAACTTACCAACTGAAAACGACCCGGAACAGTCTGAAAAGAGGCAAATATTGCCAAATATCCTAGAGCAGGGTCAAATAGTCAAATATTTTGGGCCTTCCTCCAAGGACTAAGACCCCTCCCATTAAACATGGCCTTCTCTCCTCAAACCCACTCACAAATAGTATTATTATTTGAGTTTTCAAGTTGCAGAAAAAACATAACTATATATATATATATATATATATAGTTTTTTTCATATTTTCTCTAGCAAAAATAATGACAAACTTACTTACCAACACCAGTCCAGTAAAACTGAATGATCCACCTATTTTATCTCATGTAAGCTGAGGTTAGATGTTAAATGATCCTGTACTCACTGTGATGTTTCAACACAAAAAATAAGGATGTGTTTTTCCATGTGAAGAATACATTATGGGACTGTAGGTTGACATAAGCCCTTGGCTTATGTCAACATTCCATTCCTACAGTGCAATGTAACTTGATTTTTGCTGTAAGTCTGAACTCACATACTGTACATCAGTACTTATGTCGTTCAGCTACGCTAACACAGAGTTAACATCATGATCTTGCACAAAAAACCTCAAAAGACTCTGAATTACACTAGGGAGCCATACTGCTGGACAAAAAGGTCCCAAAAAACAACACAAATGAAAGACAGTGAATGTAGCACAATCCAATGTATGATGTACAGTACAACCCATGTATGTAAACAAAGCCATCTTCCACATATAGTACCACGTGACTATTTTTACGCTCAGTAACCAGTTCCCACGTGAAATGGAACAAGACGTTCTCAACAAATTCATAGGAGATGGTGCCTCACCACAAAACACTAAAGGTCGTATATGATCTATAGTTGTACATGACTGATGGATTTCTTTTTGTTCCATGTCTCGCCTGAAGTGCTTTGGCAACCCCTGTCCCTGTGTAACCAGACTATACTGTACTGGTAACAATAAGAACAATTATAAATGTTCCAGACGACCTGCGACAGCTGAACTCGGCGTTGCATGTAAAAAATAACTGACGGGTAAATATGGGAATGGAGATCAAAAGCACTGAGGACACGACTGGGTAAAAAAAACAAAAAAAACTGGCAGACTGAAAGGAGGCGATAAGTTGAGTAGGAGTGGAATTTCATTGTGGACACAGCTTCTGATTCCACACCTGCAGAAGGAGCCCTGTTTGAAGTGCCATGCTTTCTGTCCAGGCTCACAGCACAGATGACTGATGACTCATTTCGAACTCTACTGCTTTACAAACCGAAGCAGACAATGTGGCACGGAGAGTGTCAGAGCTCGAGCTTCAGAGAGAAAGGGAGAAAATGTTCAAAATGTGCAAAGATGGGACAGGAAAAGAAAAAGTGTCACTTCAGATTATTACTTAGTCACAGTTTACAGTAACTTTTGAGCATTCAAGCCAGGAACATTTTGAGACACAGCCGTTTCCAATTACAGCCAGTCATGACGGTCAGCTTTAACCCTGAAAACTTTTGACTAAAACTTTTCAGGAAGTGGATATTTCTTGTGTTCACATTGCAAGTGTAGATTTATTGGCTGACATGAATCATAACAACATCAAGCCGGGTACATACTGTAAAGTTCACCTTCTTAATTTGTTGCAGATTTCGTGAGCGAGTGATGACTAATCACGTCAACCTCTATACAGCACCGTGCCTGCAGGCTGACTGAATACAGGCCAAACATTTCACAACCTAGACTACACATTCATCATATGTGTGTGTGTGTGTGTGTGTGTGTGTGAGCAGCGTACTGTTAATGTTTTGTTTCAGTGTCACGTTCAGTACCTGGTATTTACTCTTGCCT